ACAGGTGCCATCTTAAAAGAAGGTATCACTTTCAATCCTGTTGGGGGCAGTGCCCTTTCTTCAGAAAGACTGTTGTATTTATGTGCACATTTCTGCAGATTTAACTGACAAATTAAACAGGAAAGGAATGAAATACAGTGGTGCCTTGACTTATGGCCATCCTGACATAGGACCATTTCGAGTTGCGACCAGCACTGGTCGCAAAATTTTGCTTTGACTTGAGGCCAGAGCTTCAAGTTGCAAACAAAAGAGGCGAGGGGGGGGGAAAGGCGGGGAATTCAAATTAGAATACTAACTATTGGTTGGTGGAGAGCTTCTCTGTAGCTCTTTTGCCCCAATGGTTAGAGAGTGTGTGTTTGCAGAGAGGCTTCGGACCACTTAGTGCTGTTTTCTGCTTCTAAGTAAGTACATTTACTTTGTTTTGCAGGGTGGGTTTGGGTTTGGGAGGGTATGTTTCTGTGATGTGATGTTTTTTGGTGCTTTGGTATGTGTGATTTTTTTTCCAGCCCCATCACGTTCTGATGGGGCTTGCTCTGTTCGTTTTGGGGTTTTTTGATTTTTTTTCAGCCCCATCACTTTCCGACAAGGCTAGCTGTGGGGTGTGTGCGTGTGTTTGACTTGTTTTTCAGAACAGGGTTTTAAATTTTTTTTTCAGCCCCATCACATTCTGACAATGCTAGCTGTGAGGTGCGTGCGTGTGTTTGACTTGTTTTTCAGAACACGATGGGACTGGCTGTGTGTGGGCATGTTTTTTTTTTAATTTGTTTTTCAGCCCCATTGCATTTCAATGGGGCTGGCTGTGGGTTTTTGTGTGTGTGTTTTCACAATGCTGGAATGGATTAATTGCATTCCAATGTATTCCTATGGGAAATGGTGCTTCGATTTATGGCCATTTTGAGTTACATTCATCTTCTGGAATTGATTATGGTTGTAAGTTAAGGCACCACTGTATAATGCAATTTGGTATCTCCTCAGACATGAAATCCCATTCATTTCCCCATGTGGCTGATCAAAGAAGAATCCTGAGATGGTGTTATCTTCCTCCTGTAATCCCTGGGGTTTGGGGACAGGGAGCAGATGGAGGTGAACATCCTCCCTGCTTCCTCTGCCCATGAATGCCTCATTTTTACCCTCTCCACCACTGGAGTCAACTAGTCATGTAAGCGTAAGCAGTGACAGACCTTCTCACTGTTGTAAAAATGAAGCTTCCAGAGCTCAGAGGCTGAATTGCAGAGTTCTAAGGCCCCTGTCTGGATTTAATAACAACAATAATAATAATAACACAAAGTAATATCAGTAGGAACCAAAATGATTTACATTCAGGGCTTTTGCCCCTACATTTCAATCCCTCCCCTGTATTTCCATTGCCAAGTACACTACCTTTTTTCTTCCACTGAGAAATATAATTAATCATTTAAATATTGAACACTCAAGAGTAGCCCAGATAGTGGGATCGTGTGGTGAGAAATAATGTTTATACGTATATGCCTATTCAGAGTATGTACTCAAAGTACCTATTTACATGCACAGTGTGACTGAAAATGAACAGAGTTCCACATATGATTGGTCATACGGAATAATGCACAAGAAACGTTTAGAAACTGTCCGCAGGAAAAAGCAGTGCCTTCCGCCCCCACAGAGATCCACCTACATAAGGCTTCCTAGTCAAAAAGATTTGCGTGGGCGACTGCTGCTGCTGGATTGATTTGATTTTCAAGTCTCCTCTATAAACTCAACAAAGAAGAAAAGTCTCCAGAAAGAGCAGAATGTCAGAAAAGAGGAATTGTATGCCAAAAACCTGGTGGCCTTCTAAACCAACCTGCAGACTAACCTGGCCATTAGTAATTTGCAAGAATGAGTAGCAAGGTGTTATTGTGGTGGTGTTCTTTAAGGACAAATAGGCTGAGGGCTACAAAACGCACAGCTGTTAAAGTGAGGTGAGTCATTACTGTTCCTGTTTTCATGATAAGAACAGAAACTTCAAGAGAGTAATTTATTTTACTTTTTCAGCATGCCTTTCAGTAAAGGTTTCCAAGGGGTCTTGCTCATAAGCAATGAGTTGTGTAACTTGTAACAAATGCATATCTCTCCCCACCCCCATCTCTCTCCCTGATGTAACCACACAAGACAGTAATCTCTTTTAATTTAAAGCATTGTGATATGTCTCATAAATTACATCTTTTAAATCTGTGCTTTATTTCCATTTCAACTTCCCCTTAGCCCAATATTTTCATTATTTCTATACACACAAATCCTATGTGTGGATAATATGTGTGTACATCTGTCCTGTACAAAGAGTCAATAGGAGCAGTTTATTGTACTGTAACTTCATGAATACACTTATTGTACTTAGAGAAGAATATCTTGCTTCTACCCTCTCCAGCATAGTTTTCTACCCATGGAAGGAAACTCAACTTCAGTGGAGACATCTCTGCCTCCTTCTAGGCTCTACATACAAGCAAGAACCCTGATTTTCTAGGTCTCTTATTCATCTGTAGAACTGACAGGTAATCAGAACTATATTTTGCTTTCCGTGGACAGAAACTGATGCCAGAGAAGGGAGACATGAGGTATTTTTTTCTCAAAGCATGTCCAGTATACCTGTGGGAGTAACAACTGAACACTCCTAATGTTCATGTGGAGATCAGAAGCAAGGCAAAAAACCTGCCCCCCCCTCCCATTCATAATACATGATTCCAGGATCTGTGCAAAAGATTTCTCTCAGGTACATACACCCTGTGCTTCCTTCTGATCCATCACAGACATCCTCTTCTTCCTTCCTCTCAGAAGTTAAAAGTATTGTTGTTTTAAACAGTGAAATCCTGTAGAGCAGTGGCTCCCAACCTTGAGTCCCTAGAGGTTCTTGGACTAAGACTCCCAGAAGCTTTCACCACAGAAATCTGCAGGCTGGGATTTCTGGGAGATGTAGTCCATCTGGGGACCCAAGATTGGGAAAGACTGCTGTAGAGCCCAATTTTTTTCAGCTTCACATAACAACACGTACTTTCTTGCAGCCCTACTTTCTTGCAGCCCCCCCCTCTCTCTCTCTCCACACACACACAAGCATACACACATTTCTCTCATATATTGCTTAACACAACATGGAATGGTAAGTTACTTATCACCCATCAGCAGTTAAGAACCAGTTGTCTGTCACCTTCTGACTCTTCTATCTTGGGGACATTTTTGCCTGGATGCATTCTTATTAGTCTCCCATTATGCCTCCTCAACTTCCCCAATATACCTGTACTGTGCCATCTCTCTGTATAATCAAAAAATACATGGAATGTTTAGGTTCAGGTGGATTTAAGGAGCTTCATGAAGGATATTGAAGACTTTGTGCCACAAGAAATCTCTGGTCTTAAACAAGACGTGGGGCAAGAAAATTTATTGATTCATAGGCATGTATTTCAAACAGAAAACCTGAATTTCAGTTTGAGATCTATTTATTTGTCTCTTTTCCTTTCTTTTTGGCATGGGAGAAGTCTAGAAACTAGACAATGTAAGTGGAAACATGCGGATGAAATCCAAACGCCTGTATGCTTATCACCTGGCATCTAGCAATTCCTCTCTCTTACCCATTTTATTGATAGTTAGGTGTAAACACTTACACTTACATATTATAGCGCAAATATCCATAGAAGCTGTGAAATTATTAAAATGCATAATTTGGTTTCTGAGGAGTTCTAAAAAATCAATTGCTGCAAGGCTGTGCTTGCAGAAAACTGTAGGGTCAATCTAGTATTTACTGAGGAATCAAGAGGCATCCAAGCAGCTGGGTGTATGTTGGAAGATTTCTACCCATATCTTCCTTCTGTCCCAAAGATTACTGGTACTTCCTCTCTCTCTTACCTTCATACCTCTGTCTTCCTCTTTTCCTCTGCATTCTGATCCACTTTTCTTCTCTCCCCCCCCCTTCTCCTACCACAGTTCTATATGAAAGGTTTTGATTTCTGCGTGAAAACACTAATAGAGGCCACAGGTATACTTGCCATTGATCTCCGTATGTTTTCTTTAGCTTAGATTTTGGGGTGGCTTAGTTAGGGCTTCAAACAAAGTCCATTCAGCTCTCCTCGACACATTTGTTTTCTTTCTGTGAAGGAGGTAATTTTATCTTTTTTTTTTTTGTGAGAGAACTTTCAAATTTATAAACGAAGTGAATGCATAAAGCTCTTGAGTCTTTTGACAGTAAAAGGAAATGCATGTTGTCTTTGGCATTATCTCTGACCAAGCCCCTCAACATAAATAAAGGAAGAGCTATTCCTTTTAAGGATGTGAGCTGGGGGAGGGGAAGAAAGAAGGCAGGAGGATGGGATTTCTAAATCTTTTGTTTGAAAGGGAAGAACTACTAAAGATGTTAGACTGATGTATGGATTTTTTTTAAAGATGCTCAGATATCGGAGGATATGAGCTGGGTGAAGTTGGGAAGGGGGAGGAATTAAAAGGAAGATAGGAAAATTAATCATGCCAGCAAATCACCAGCCATATGCATGCTTTAATCCATTAATGGGGGATTTATCTCTGATCATAAAAGCAGGTTAGAGTCAGCCTGGAAATGAGTAGGTGGGAGGGGGAGAGAGAAAGAGTGAAAGCAGGAGAGAGAGAGAGAGATACACACACAGAAAGAGAGAGAGGACGAGAGGTAAAGAGAATAAATATACTGGTTGAATTGCTGAGAGAAGCTTTAGGATGAATAATTAGGGATCTCAGAAGAGCTGCTGCTCAGAATATTCTGCTTTCTTTAGAAGGAGATCGTGGCTTGGTCCTGGTAATATATATGCTATATATGTTTATGTATATATTTTTAAAGCTTTCCTTATAGTTCGATGGGCATTCCCAGTGCTTTTTGTGCATGTCTCTAAAAAGCGTTGATGTGGAAAGAAGCAGCAGTGGGGGGGTGGGGAACGGCAGCTCTTCTAAAAATACTGAGGGCATGCAGGAGTGTGAGAAGGCTGGGGGGGAGGAGGAGGAGGAGGAGGAGGGTGTGAGAGTGCCTCGCACCATGTTTTCTGGATGCCAGCTGGGTGCAGTTTTGGAAATGTTCCTCCTGTGAATGGAGGCACCATGAACATTTGGGAAGTGATCCTGGCTTTCTTGATTGTGGTGCTCATCCTGGTGTCGCTGCTGTCCAACGTGCTGGTGCTGATCTGCTTTTTGTACAGCACAGATATCCGCAAGCAAGTCCCGGGATTGTTTATCCTCAACTTGACCTTCTGCAACTTGTTGATGACTGTCTTGAACATGCCTCTGACCCTGGCTGGGATCATTTACAAAAATCCACCAGGAGGAGACCAGCTTTGCCATATTGTGGGTTTTCTAGAGACTTTCTTGACCACAAACTCCATGCTGAGTATGGCCGCTCTCAGCATCGACCGGTGGATAGCAGTGGTCTTTCCTCTAAATTACCATTCCAAGATGCGCTACAAAGATGCTGCTCTCATACTGAGCTACACGTGGTTACATTCTGTGTCCTTCCCTATCGTGGCAACATCTCTTTCCTGGGTGGGTTTCCATCACCTTTATGCCTCCTGCACTCTGTACAACAAAAGACTGGAGGACAGGACACAGTTCATTATTTTTACTGGGGTCTTTCATTCCCTCAGTTTCCTTCTCTCTCTCATAGTCTTGTGTTTCACATATCTAAAAGTGCTGAAGGTGGCACGCTTTCACTGTAAAAGGATTGACGTGATAACTATGCAGACCCTCGTGCTGCTTGTGGACATCCATCCCAGGTAAGAAAGCACCTGTGTCCTTCACTGGCAAGGTTACACACTGAGTATGCCTGTGGAGACACAAGGTTGGGTTCAGTACCAAACCACATTATCATCCAGTAGTGCCTTGTTATTTCTACTCTGCATGTTCATATTCACAGGTTGCTTTGTAGCTTCTAAATTAATTGCTAATTATGCTCTCCAAACAGCAAACAAAGTCATCCAGGGATCTTTGCATGTGTTTAAGATGGGCTTGTGGTAGAATCAAAAATGTTTCCATATGCATGCATTCCCATTTGGGCTGTGTCTGAATTTTTGCCATTGTCACCTGCAGAGAACAGATCCATGTCTATTCATTAACATCCCTCTGTAGTTCTCATGGGTGAACTGGATTAAACTGTAATTTGTTATGTCAGTTAAGGCTTTGTAATGAGGAAAATGGTGCACTGCAAGCCTTTCTGTTTCCTGTGTTAGTTTAAGTGCCCCCATGGAGCCAGTAACTTTATTTTCCTTGAAGGAACAATGTCCAGAGAAATAATATTTCCAAAACAAGCACAAGATACAAATACATCCAAAATAGCACAGAGATCAAAATTCATACTGACAAGCAAAGGAAACTTGAGTTAAATCTGCTCATGAGTCCTTACCTAACCCATATTTTCTAGATATGAAAAATGAGTCTCAAACCATGGGAGGAGGGGAGAGCAAGGACCTAGTAGGCTGGAGAGTGATAACCAGGGGGAGGTACAAAAAGCAATGTCATAGAGAATGAAGGACTATCGCTAGATGATATGTGAGGTAGAAGCCTCAGAAATCAGATGTGAGAGGATCTGACAAGGGAAAATTGGTCCGACTGACTTAGCTAGAGTAAATGTTGCTGACGGGAGAGGAAGACAGCATGAGGAGAAGTACAAATGAGGGGGAAAGGGGGTTTATTGGGATTTTTTGCAGTTGCAGAGAAAGGAAGGGAGAAGTGTCACCAGATATGTGACAAACAGTAAAGTCTCTGGTAGAAGTGAGAATGATAGGATTCATGGGGGTGGAGGTGAGGAACTGCTTGAGAAAAGAGAGAAAAGGTGAAGTGAGGCTCCCAATCAGGCTGTCCCACTGTGTGTGCATGTGTGTTGAGCTGGAAGTTTGTTGTCCCTATGAAAACAGAGTCAATCTGCAATGTAATGATAAAAGGAATTAGTGTGGTTTCAAGAGAGATAGAGAATACGAAACTCTGCCATAAAGGGGATGGGGTATAATAATACCTAACTTTCTTATGAAAGCTGGGCTTGTGAACGCTATAGTAGTTTGATGCTGCATGACCTCTCAGAGATGGCTGACATAGCAAACTGTTCTTATCAAGACACTGTCAGTGACATTTGCTGTAAATGCCCAGCACTGAGCAAGAGAATGCAGGAAAAGAGGCAAGTGGGCATTGCAATAAGATATTTAGTTCTGAAAGTGTTTTGAGGAAACCATCAAATGAGCCAGAGTGAAGATAATGTCACATTGGATCAGAAGTGGTGTTGTGTTCATGGACATGTCCGACGGGCAGTTAAGAATTTGGGGAGTGATTGATGGAACACAGAATGCAGACTATGGGATACATATTCATGGGGAGATATTTATCTGGGATAATCCAACTCCAGATTGTTACAATATATGCAGTTCATCAGAGACAGTTCTGAACTGGAGGAACTTGAGCACTTTCAGAGGCATCATAAGTAGTCTTAGAAATGCTAAACATCAGTTATGTTTGAGTTAATTTGAGGCTGTATCACAAAGGGATTATAACACTATGGCAGACCATGAGGCTGTTGGTTATGGAGCTGTCATAAAATTGAGGCATTGTACTAGCTACCTAAGATACCAAACTATTGTCACCTTATGATCAGAAAGAAAAATGGGCATCTGGTTTTTTTAAGATAGGTGGTAAAATGAGACTTTGACCTATTTCAGAAATAATAGTAAACAATGGCAGATGATTAAACATGAGCCCAGCTTCTATGCTCTGCTTTTTCATCTGACACAGTTGTGAAAAGGAAATCTGAAGGGCAATGTACAAATCCTGAATTGTGTTAAACTTAACTGTGGTTAATTGAACAAGCCAGCTTCATGAATATGGTTTAAACATGGCTTGCTTCAGCTAATGAGTTTTGATACTAAACATGGAGTGACCATGTTCAAATATAATGCTTCACTCCAGGTAGCCTAAAATTGATTTTTGCTAAAAAAAAAAATCTTAGCCAAAAAAACCCCAACAAAATATTAAACTATCTTCATTAGTTAAACTGAATAAATGCATCTATAACCAATATTGAGAAGATTGTGCTGTACCTGCCTACCTTGCTGTTATTGAAAATGAGGAGCCTGAAAACAACTCTAATTCAGCTCCACAAAGGTGTTTGAAAAACTAGGGATTCAAACCCATACTTTTAATAGTGAGGCTTGCATAGTCCTCTGACTGGATGAGTGAATCTGTCAGTCTTGCTGTCTCTCATATTTGACTTTTGTTTGTTTTTCCCCCTAAATCTCAAAGTCCTTTTCTTTACATATAACAAAAATAATTGTGGAATTTGGAAACAATTTATCAAAAAATGACCCACCACAATTCTCATCTATCCTGAGTTGAAACTAGTCACCCCCTGGCTTCGGCAGTTTTGTGAGCTCCCCACTTTCTTAAGACTAGAAGGAGTATATCCATTAAATGTTGCTTCAGTTTTACCTCATTATTTCCCTTCAACTCTTTTCCTCTCGTGCAAGAAACTATTTGTTCTGTAAAAACTTACCATTTTATGTTCATGCTTCTGCATGGCTCTGTACGAAAAAGAAGGGAAATATGGAAAAACAATCTGTTCTTTTACCCAGCTTGCATAAGACATTTTCTCATGTAAACCTTCTATGCTGATTGCCTGCTTCTAGTATTGAAGTACATCATTCATTAATTATGGTATGTAAAGCATTAAATGTTATTACGTTGCCCACCTCATGAAGACACTTAGCTAAAATGGAAAATATCCAATGATACTTGGTATATTCCGCTTTGCTTAAAAGCAGGCTGGGTGATATATGACAGATTTCAGAAATCAGGACAGAAAGAAGCGTATTCTAAATCCTAAAGTGCTTTCCTTATGCCAATTGCCTCATCAATCTTAATTTTATGTGTATCCTACTAGTCTGTTCCTGAAGCATAGCATGAAGCTGAGAGTGTGATTTCTGGTAACCATGGTTAATTTCAAGTGTCATCAATCTTGTATTCCATCTCTTGTAAAATAGTAGATTAGTATAGGCTATACCAATGTAAATATCCTTAATTATAATCTTTCTATAATACAACACTCCCTTCATGCCACATAATAGGATAAGCTGCAAATCCTTCATATATATATGAATCATGCTATCCTACTGCACATAATTCAGCCAGTGAGATATATATATATCTCACTGGCTGAATTCTGTGCAGTAGGAAAGCATGATTCATGGCCAAATGACAGGATCACTTTTTCAGAATTTGTTGGATGTCACACAGCAAAGTCATTTGCAAGCCTTTCATAATGTGTAACAGGACTAAGCAGCAAGGAAATAGAACAGCTTTAAGTAGGAAGATGCCATATGGTGCCATACACTGGAGTGGTCAAGGAAGTCCTCTGATGACACGTCAACATTACTCTCTTATTCTTAGGTCTTGAAACAGAACACAGAGAAATCAAAACCCTCCACAGCATAGGTTGGTGCTTTCTTATGTTTCTGGAAGGCAGGGAGTGTGTTAGATCACCCAGAACCCACTGAGGTCACACCATCCTGTCTGCTCCCAGTAAGAAAATAAAATACTGGCTCAAATTCTGTTTGCACTGCTATGCTACGTGAAGACAATGAGACCATCAACCACAGTGATTTTTCAGAAATTTTAAAAAATGTATTCCTCCTTTACTCACCCACCTTTGAAGGTTACAAGGCTCCCACAGAATTCCCTTTGTTGTGGGGAAGCTGTTGACAGCTGTAGAATAGTGGGGAGACTCTTATTTCTAAAAATCATCCCCAGGATGATGCTATTAGTTTCGTATGGTGTAGTTACACAAACACCATACGACATCTGAGCATTCAGCCTGGAGGCAGGCACTGCATCACGGCCTCTCCCAATTTGAAGAGACCCTTGCCCAGCAGGCTGAGGCAAAGAGGAAGTCACAAAAGCAGCAAAACCAGGGAGCTGGACAGGGGACAGATTGGATTTGTCTCCAGTGTGGAAGAGATTGTCACTCTCGAATTGGCCTCCTCAGCCACACTAGACGCTGTTCCAAGTCCTCCACACAGAGCATGTTGCCATAGTCTTTCGAACTGAAGGATGCCTAACTAAGTAACACAAACAGGATTAAAGTCAGCAAAAGGTTTAGATATGTTGTATCATACTGCAGCCTCACTTATCAAAACTATTTGAAAGACATTTACTACTACTATCAGACATTTGTTTAAATCAGAGTGTCAATTATACAGAAACCTCTTGAGATAAAACAATACATATACATGGATAATTGTTCAAAGTAGATTAAGGGTACACTATGAATGTAGCAACAATGGTGAGAATTGAAGTGAATATTTACATCTATATAAGTGCATTGTTGTAAATTGGAGTGATGAATGAGTCCCCAATCAAATTTCTAGTCATATGCCAAGCCGCACAACTGACACTTTCCTAGGGATTCAATTAGAGAATCATTAATGACAAGCTATTTGCCATATCGGCTTACAATGCACTTAAGCAGGCATAAATACTCACTTGGATTCTAGCCAACATCATCTGGCAGATCAACATTCCAATGAGAAGAATTCTGATATAGAGAGATAATAATCTTTGAAATGCAGAGGTGGAAGGGACCCTATGAATCATCGAATCCAGCCCCTCTCAGGTAGGCACAGCCAATTTCCCAACTTCTGGTTCCGCAGCCAAAGACCTAAGGCACTGAGCTAGCCAGCAGTTCATAGATAGATAGATAGATAGATAGATAGATAGATAGAGAGAGAGAGAGAGAGAG